AAACCATTGTTCATTTTCTGTTAGCTGGTTACAAATACTGTCATTCTCTTGAATGGTTTTACATTGTCTTGATATGTTTGATGCTACAATATATGAAGTTATACTCAAAGATTTCAAGGAAAGAGACACTATGGTAACTATTTTTATGTCGGGATATCTTGTGGTGAAACACAATTTTGCTTAAATGGTTATGTTTTGACCTGTGCTATTTTGTTATTATGTCCTCTTTTATCTCAATCTCCTTTTTTATTGTTTATTTTTTTATTTTTATCTTTTTAAGGGAAAAAATAAATTAAAAATAGCATGATATATTATAGTAACCCACTTTGATTTCCTATTAACTTGATTTGAAACCCTGTATTGCTCTCACCATCTTGTTTTGACTGATTTTGACTCTATTCTGTTTTGCTTGGTAGTACCAAGTTTGAGAGTATAGACAACAACTATGAAGACAATAAGATTCACTACGATGCCCATTCTGGTTTGACTATTATCTTCTTTTGAAGTCCTGTAATGTCTCCAATGTTTTGGTTTTATTGGTTTTGTTCTTTACTGTTTTGTTCAATTTTATTATAACTGATGATATAGGCAATTCTTTTTAAGATAGCAAGAGGCATTATGGTAACTATTGTTGATCACCTTGTATTCTGTTTTTACATTATGTACTATGTCCATCCTTTTGATTTGACTGACTCTGTTTTGTTATGTCACATTTGGTTTTATTCTCTTCAAAAACAAAGGATTAAGAACTGTGGGAGTAATAAAACCCAAAATGTGTAATTGTCATTGTAAAAAAGAGAGGAAAAGAAACTGCCGTAAAGGATATAACTGCATGTATATTTAAGCATATAAGATAGGTAACCATATTACTGAGTTTTTGTTGGATCATTGAACAGAACTATTTGCATTCTCACTGTTTGAATGCCCACTTTATATGCTTTAATTTTGTAACTTGAACAACTATTTCTAAGATGACAATATGTAATCTATTAACTAGTGATTTTCTACTATTTATTTTTTTGAAATTCTGTATAACTTGTACCCTTTTTCTGTTTTTTTCTTTTTCTCCTTAAATACAATTTTTAAAAAGAAAACGCAATTTTTATATACAGTGGATTACTACTCTGCCATAGAGAAGAATAAACCTGAGCCACTGTCAGGTAAATGGATGAACCTTGAGACCATACTTTTAAGTGAAATAAACTAGACACATGTGTTTAAATATCGCATTGTTTCTTTTGAGTGAGAAACTGAATGAGTAAATAAGGACTCAAATTGATGATAGATATTGGGAAATATATATCTTTAGAAATAAAATGTTTAAATGGGAAGGGGAACAAGAGAGAAGGAAAGAACCAAAAGGGAACCCAGACCAATTTCCCTAATGAATATAGACTTTTTAAAATCTTCAATAAAATATGGACATATGGAATGCAGCAAACCAATACAACATGACTAAGTAAGATTCATCTCAGGGATACAGGAATGGTTCAATGTACACAAATTATTAAATGTAATATACCACATCAAAAATCAAAGACAAAAATCACATGATCACCTCAATAAACCCAGAAAAAGCATTTGGCAAAGCCCAACAGCCATTCATGACAAAAACGCTACAGAAAATTGGAATAAATGGTCTTAACTTCAATCCAATAAAACCTACCTATGATAAACCTATAACAAACATCATTCTAAATGGTTCAAAATTGGAAATTTTCACTCTAAAATCAGGAACAAGACAAGGATGCTCACTATTACCACTTCTATTTAATACAGTTCTGGAAACATTAGCCAGAGCAATCAGACAAGAGAAAGAAATAAAAGGAATAAGAAACCCAAAAAACTCCATCAAAAGACTTGTAGATTTAATAACCAAGTTCAGCAGTATAGCTGTATAGAAACTCAAAACTCAAAAATGAATAGTAATGCTGTACACAAACAATAAACTCACTAAGAGAGAAATTAGGGCAATCATACCTTTCACAATAGGATCCAAAAAAATGAACCAGGAAGTAACAAAGGAATAAAGGAAGTAAAAGATCTATCCTTTGAAAATTATAGTACTCTAAAAAATATTGAGGAGGCTCTCTGAAAATGGAAAGGTATCTCCTGTTCATGGACAGGAAGAGCCAACATAATGAAAAGGATGAAAACTGTTATACAGATTTAATGCAATCTGAATCAAAATATCATTAGCATAACTCACAGAACTAGAGAAAACATTTTTAAAATTCAGTTGGAACCAGAAGAGATACAGAATATGTCATAAAGAAGGACAAATTAAGACATTTCTAGGTAAATGGATGCAACTTGAGATCATACTCTTAAGTGAAATAAATTGGACACACATGAGGAAGCATTGGATTATCTCCCTCATGTGAGAAACTGAAAGAGTAAAGACCGAAGTGTACAATAGATGTTATGAGATGGGAATGTACAAAAGGAAACAGAAACTAGAGAGGGAGAAGGGGGAAAGGAAGAAGGAAAAATGATTTTATTTTTAAGTGATTTTTTAAAAGAATAAAATGGAAACAAAGCTTTGTAAATAGGGGAAGAGGAGTTGAAGGGAAGGGAAAGGATTGGGAGAAAATAAAGGAATCAAAATATATCATATGCAGGCACAAATTCCCTGTGATGAATATGATCCCTATGCATACCTAAAATGTAGCAGTAAACTTATTAAAGTTAGAAAAATACTGTTAATGCTGAATTATATTAAATGAAACATTAAGCTTACTTTGTCTTTTTGATATAATGGCTTATGGGTAGAAGACCACATGTATTTCAAAAAATAGTGTATTATTGCCTTTCCTGCTTTGGCCATTTCCAGTAAATAAATGAAGTTTTACATAAACAACTTGCTATGTATTCATTATAGATTGTAATTAACTCCTAACTTTTGATTAGTCTATAGGCTACAGAATCTTTATGTATATTCTTCTGGTTTCCTAGATGGTCCCTAGAGATATGATACAATATAAAGAAGGTGTAACTCTGCATTTAAATTAAAAAACATTAGATTTGTTTTCCACATATTTGTAGCATGTGACTATTTTTATACTAATTTTGATATGATATCAAAACTACATTGTTTTCATGGTTGTACTTAGCCATCCCCCAAAAGAAAAGGTTGTTTTGCATACGCATATAGGCTATCTTTACAGAACAGAAAGATTATGTTTTAAAATGTTATTTTCAGAAGTCTTGCATGTAGCTGCACTTGTGAATGCTTTGTAAACATTTAACTAAAGGCTAGGAATGTAGCTCAGTGAAAAATCCCTGAGTTCAATCCTCAGTATAGTACTGAGAGAAAAAAATGTGGTTTCAAAACAAGAGCAACTGTGAGAAATACAATAAAATGTCCTGCTTATGCCCTCAATTTGTAATAGACTGTATTACGTAGACAATTTTGGCTGGTGGGCCTTTTCTTCCTTTGTTTTTGGTTTTGCTTGAATTGGGAATTTATGTTCACCCTCCCTTACTTATTTAAGTTTTCTAATAAAATGAAGTTAGGGCTGGGCTGGTCAAACGTTATTAGCTACATTGAAGCATGCCATTTTAAAGCAGATCCATAATGTACCTTGCGGAACTTTTACTATGTTGGTCTCCAGAGAACTTTTCAGTGGTGGAAAGTAATGCACAAGGTGTCTTAGTTACTTTTTACTCATTGCTGAGACAAAATACCTGAAGCCCAAAGTTGAGAAAGGAAAGGTTTATTTCTTACAGTTTTTGGAGGTTTCAGGCTATACTTAGTTGGCTCCAAGGCAGGGTGGCATGGCAGGGCTGCAGTTCACAGCGGCTGCAAACAGCAAGGAGGAAACAGGCAAAAGAGCAAGAGAGCGCGACATGCCTTCTTCCTGCCATTACATTACATCCTGGCTCCACTCCTAGGCCAGGATAGCACTCGCACCCCCAATCCAAGGGCTAGACGATGAACCAATCACAAATGCACAATGCAAATGCATGAGATCTGGGGGCCACCAAAATAAACCATGACACAAGGGAACAAAATCTTTTAACTAATTTTCTTTCTGAGTATGTAAACTCTGAATTCAAATTGCAAGGTACCATAAATGTTATTAGAGTGCATCACTGTGGTTCCTGTTTGTTTCTTATTCTACAGAATTTCTGTGCACTTGCCTAGGTGGATTGCATCTAAGACCAAGTTCTGGTTTTTAATAACTCAGAAGGAATCATCCCTGAAGAATTTACTTGGCAGCTGTCTTCCTCAGTAACCCAAACTAGGGAAAATTTTGCTTCCATTGGTGAACTCCACAACCAGAATTCTGATATGAATTAAGTTTGTGAGCCAAAGTAGGAATACATGTTAGCAAATACAATACTTAGCTAATTGTAAAAATCAGGACAGCAGTAAAAAAGATTTAATCATTTATGCTTTAACATAAACACTAAACCTAATCATTAAGATTGATTGATACATTTGAATCCAGTCTCATTTGTATCAGGTCAAGATGAATTTGTTAAGGTATCAATTTGGTTTTTTCTGTAGGATAATTTTAAATTAACATATCTAACATTCAAATGCTCAACAGTGTGTTTAAGAAAGAAATGTTTTTAAGCTATGTATTAAGTTCTTCAGACAGATTTAATTGGATCAGGTTTTTAGTTTGTCAGTATTTCTCTTTATTTTCATTTTGCAGCTAAGGATGATACACTAACACTTAATAGTTCCTACAAAAGCTTTCCATTTAAGTTATTGAACTAATATCATGAGTGGCTTGTAAATTCAAAATCAGGCCTCAAGTATCCTTCACTGTGCAAGCCAGGCCACCTGCCAAGGTGGTACAGTTACATTTGTCCCTCAGAATGTGTTTGGCATCCTCTGTTCTTGCAGTGGTTGGATTACAATCTCACAGAACAAGTTCACCTTGATCTTTCACAGTAAAGTACCTCAGGGACACAATCTGACATAAACTGAAACTTGTGACGTTTCCAGGTAAAGAAGGCAGAATAAAATGAGACTTTGGATTCAAGGACAATAAGACATCAGAAGCACTGAAAGCATACAAATTGAAGCTTTATCACTGGGGAAAGATGCAAGACGACACCTCTTCTGAACAGAATCCAACCCACTGCTCAGCCATCAACAGCAGTGTCCCACTGGTGCAGGGGGCCCTTCCCACCTTGACCTTATCTGGAAAGATTCGAGTGACAGTGACTTTCTTCCTTTTCCTAGTCTCCACCACCCTTAATGCTTCTTTTTTGCTGAAACTTCAGAAATGGACTCAGAAGAAGGAGAAAGGAAAAAAGCTCTCAAGAATGAAGGTGCTTTTGAAACATCTGACCTTAGCCAACCTGTTGGAGACTCTGATAGTCATGCCACTGGATGGGATGTGGAACATTACAGTCCAGTGGTATGCAGGAGAGTTACTCTGCAAGATCCTCAGCTATCTGAAGCTTTTCTCCATGTATGCACCAGCCTTCATGATGGTGGTCATCAGTCTGGATCGCTCCATGGCCATCACCAGGCCCTTACCTGTGCAGAGCAACCGTAAGCTTGAACAGTCCATGACTGGCCTGGCCTGGGGCCTCAGCAGTGTCCTTGCCGGGCCGCAGGTAAACTATTTTTCATGAACTTGTGTGATTCTGTTGCTCAGAGATTTCTTGCCTAAAATTCAGTAAAGGTCTTTCCCTAGGCAGTAGGCACAGTATTACCTTTAAAAGCTGAGGCTTTGGCATCAGAGCGGAATTTAATCTTGACTCTGCCTTGTTTCCTTGAGCAAATTTCTTAACCACTCTGTTCCTTTATTTATAAAATGGGAATAATGCCTATTTCACATGGTTTTGTGTTTAAATGAATAACTTATTAAAACATAACCACTAGTACATGGAAAATGTTCTTTAAAAGGTAACTCTAAATAAAATTGACTTCCTTGGTCTTGTTTTTCTCTGGTTGGCATAGATTTAACGGTTAATTTAGAGAGTGTGGAGCAATTTTTCATACTTTCAATTTATGTAGAAAGTAGGTATTGTGTCTCTTCAATTGTGAGGAAATTATTTTGATTAGTTTGTCCCATAGCTTGCAGTGAGGCAGGGTTAGATAGAGGGAAAGTGGGAACTTTGGATTTTGAGAAATTTGAATATTCTCTGAGGTTGACTTGAGTTTTGCTAGAAGCAGTTTTCTGACAAAATTTCCTGGCAATTGGTGTAGGAAGCAGACTCTCTCAGATGATGTAGACTTCTCTCTGAATCACCATCATCATCAGAAGCAGCCAGGCTAACTGACCTGAAGAATCCCTTTTCAGTAGTCAGTTCTTTTTTTTTTTTTTTTTTTTTTTTTTTTGTCTGAGACACGGTCTCACTATGCAGTTCATGCTGGCCTTGAGCTCACTTTGTAGCCCAGGCTGGTCTTGAACTCACAACGATCTTCCTGCCTCAGCCTCCTGAGTGCTAGGATTACAGGTATGAGACACCACGCCCAGCTGTCAGTGGTCAGTTCTTTAAAGAAAAGAAAAACATGTTTTGGAAAATAACAAAAACTCTTTCACAACAAACTAACACTTCATCTCTATGCTTAAAAATGTATTGTGTGATAAACTCAGAGCACAAAAATGTGGTAAGAAATTAAGTCACAGTTTTCTAGTATCCTCTAAAAATGAGGCTTTAAAATATGAAAATCTGCCTGGACATTCAAAGCTAGCCAGATGGTTTTATCTTTTTTAATGCTATGTGGAATTGACTGAACATAGTGAGAAACTATATAAAGTTTCTCAAAGTTTCCTCAATTTTTGAAAAATTTAATCAGCATGTGTTTTATGTCAGGAAAAATGGTAAAAACTAAAATGTTTTGATTTCCCCAGAGCAAAGTATATTATAATTACTTTCACAATGACTAAATGTATACGATTAACTTTTGTAAATGTGTCCCGTGGATTGAGGCTATTTAGCAAAGGCTTATGCCCTTGAAAATTCCATGAAACTTTTTACAGTGTGATGCGAATGCTGCTTATTGGTTGGTTTTCTTGGAGAAGATAAACACAAACTGAGTTCCTGACCTGGCACCTGGTGCTGATGAAACCATGAATCAGTGGGGAAAATAGAATTCATTTGTGGATACAAACTTTATATAAAGCTCATACAACTCCATATTTTAAAAGTTGAAGGCAAGGGATATAGCTAAGCAGCATAGTGTCTGCCTGGGAAGCATGAGGTTCTGAGTTAAATTCCTGATACCAGAAAAAAAATTTAACTCTTTTATAGGTAAAAGAAGACAAAAAGATAAGTTGGTATTGAAATAATGAAGAAAGTTTTAAGATAAAGGAAGAAAACTTAGTTTTCTCAGCTGAATGGTATTTGGGTGGAAAAAATAAATGAAGCATCATATACATTTTTCAATGATGGGTAAAAAGTATTACTAATTCACTGGAGATCTATTTGGTTGAAGAAAAAGACTGGCAGTCAGAAATAGCAAGTAATTAGAGTTAGTTGTTTTTCTTCTTCCTAGTAGCAGAGTATTTATCTGTCATAGAATACCACGGTTTGTTTGTCTGTGTTTGACATCAAGATGCACACCTATACGTGGTGGGACATTTTTGTGTTGAATTGCATTAATATTTACAGTACCTGTAAGATAGCAAAAATGGAAATTAAATGTTTGCACACATTAGTATACACAATTTTATGTTTTATCATAACATACACAGTTTTATGTTTTATGTATCAGTTGAAAGGTTTTATTTTTAAAGAGAACACTAAAAAAATGTTTGGGTAAATGGGTGAATGAGAAGTGAGGTAAATAAAGGCACATTGTCATCCCCATTTTCTGGGTAATAGAACAAACTTCTGACCTTTGAGAGGACTCAGACACTTTTACCAATAACTCAAATTAGTAAATACATAGAAACCCAACCTACCTCTTTGTTTCATTTGTTTGTTTTCATTACATGAATAATGTATGCTTTGTTGATTTTAAATATTGATTAATTGTTGAGTACATGTTACAGTTGGAAAAACAGATTTAAAATTATTCATTCTTTCCAAATGTCACTTGGACGAATGAATTTATAGCTTTTGGATTCATGAGTATTGGATTTATTAATTCCAGTTTTTCTCTTAAATAAAAAGGATTTCCACTCTGTGGACAAGAAAGGAAGAGAACTTTTGTTGCTAGGTTGTGACGACACATCATACATCTCCTGATTCATCACCCTCTATGGATAATAAGCTAATGGGCAAAATCAGATCCAGTCGTGGCCAATTTACATGAAAAGGTCAATTTTAAGTTTAATTCTTTGGTGATATATCAGTTGCTCATTACGTGAGTAATTCCAGCCTCAATTTTAAGAGAAATTGGCATTGCCACTCCTGGTGGTACACGCCTGTAAACCCAGCACTTGGGAGGATGAGGCAGAAAAATTGCTGTGAGCTCAAGGCCAGCTTGAACTGCACAGTGAGACCTTGTCTCAAAGAGACAGAAAGAAAAAAAAAAATAAAAAAGAAACACAAAATGCGAAATTGACAAACTAGTTGGCATAACATAAGCCCAGGAATCTGAGAACTTAAGACATTTTCCTAGAGCTCAGAATGATCCATTTTAAACTCCACCGTGGCTTTTCTCCTGCCTGACAATTAATCTGAAAACCCAAGTTCTGATGGTATAGGAATGTTTTCAGATCTTGCACCACAGTGTAGGGTATAAAGTTTAAACTTTTTTAACAGTGCTTTTTTTTTAAAGTCTTTTATGGAGTCCCAATAAATTAAACAAATATCAGGGTTGCAGTCTTTCAAGTAGGGCTATGAGAGGAAAATTCCTCTTCTTGATGGTTTACTAGGCCCTAGTCACAGTCACTTCAGAAATGACAGTCTCCCTGCAACAAAGGCTGAAAGCCACTGGGTTATAGAAATGACACAGGCGTGGGATTTAAAGAGGTGTATTCTGATCTCAGTACTGGTCACTTAACTAGCTATATGACTAATCACATAACTAAGACAAGAGTAAGGGCAACTGTAAAAGATAAATTATGTGATACTGTACAAAATCATGCAGGGACAGGGATATAGCTCAGTGGTACAGTGCCTGCCTGGCAAGCACAAGGTCTTGAGTTCAATTTTAAAAAAAAAGTTCAGTACAAAAAAAGAGAGAGAGAGCGAGAAGTTTAAATCATCCAGTACAAACTTTACACATTAAACACCTGGCTCCCTTCTGTTTCTCGTTTCTTCTTCCTTTCCTATTTTCTTTCATAAGATTTTTGAAATTAGGAAAGATAAAATACAGAAATGTGAATATGAAAATGGTTAATTCTTTAAGAAACAACCAAACGAAATGCTTATACAAAAATTACTTCAAATTTTTCAAACTGTAGTTTATGTTCCAATTGGTAGATTCACCCAAACTCCTCTCGGACACCAAACAGAAATGGAAGAAGGAAGAAATGAAAGAAAGAGAAAAGAAGAGAAGGAAGAGAAGGAGGGGAGGAGAAAGAGAGAGAGCAAGAAGACTTCCATGACAGAAGCCCGAAGAAATGACCAAAGCATGTCACATTTATAATTTTTGGATAAATACCAACTAATTTGAGAAGAAAACAGACAATAAATACATATCCCACCTAAGGTAGTTACTAGGTAGACATGGAGGTACAGGTAGAAGCCAGTGAAAGAAAAACAAGACCGCAAGAGTTTGCCTCTTTAGGCTCATAGCACCCAACTGGCCGTCTCCAGTGACCACAGCTGTCCTCAGCCTTGCTGTGGGAAGGAAGTCCTCCCCAAGAACCTTTGTGGAACCCAAACGGCATATAGAGAAAATCAACCCAAACAGCTCTTTTTTTCTCTTTAAGTTTAAAAACAAGCAAACAAAAAAGAAGGATAAAAACAACACAGAATTTCAAGAAAATAGGAAATTAATACTAGTTAATGTATTGCATATTGCTATCTTGAAAGTAGTTGCTCAAGATTTGGGCATAAAAAAGTGATCAATCAAATAATGAAAACACAAACTGTTCTTTTTGATGAACAAAGATTAGCAGTATAATCCATCTTGTATGTATTTACATACACATGTACATTTATACATATGTATATCTATTACAGTCCTTCGATTGTTTTCAACTAGAAATAATGTATATACTGGTAAGCCTATTTTCCCTTATGTCCTTTAAAACTGAAGCCAGGATTTTTAGCTTCTACACTTTACCCATTGTTGAAGTCTAGAGAAAGAAAAGCTTAAAGACAGGAAAGTAAAAAGACACCGCCAATATTTTATAATAATGGTTAAGATTCCTGTAGTGCTATGTGTAGGAACTATTGCAGAGGTTTAGTACACAGTATCTCATGTAATTGCATGCTAGTCCCTAGTGATAGATACTACAGTATTCCAATAGCCATTTTAAAGATGAGGAAACTGAGGCACATACCATCGGAAAACAAGAATCTTTGAAAAAGTTTTCAGTTAGTGTGAGGTAGGTGAAGGCTAAGGATAGTACTCTGAGGAGGAATGATTATCTACTGGGGGCAGAGGAGGAAAACAGAACAATTTATGACAAAACATAACAAATACTGGTAAGAACCAGAGTCACAGATAAGATAAGCAAAACAGAATGGAAGAAAATATAATCCAAGGACAAAGGAATCACTTAAAGGAAGGTGGAACCTTATTAACCATTCAAATAAGAGTGACTCTAAAACACAAAATAAGCTGAACTGAGACTAAGACAAATTTTTTAGGGGCAACTAAGATTCTTGGGTTTCCACATACTTCACTGTATTTCTCTTTTAAACCTTATCAGTCTGCCTTGTATTAGAGATGTCACATATACTCTATAATAGCCACTATCAAATATTAAACTCCGTAATATAAATACATATTTGTTTCACCTTTTAGGACAGACAACACCTAATATAGTTATTCTAACCAAAGAATTGCTTTAAAAATAAACATGTGTTAAATAAAGATAATAACTCAAAATATTCAGTACTTGTAGCATGATGTTTCAAAGTCTCTGTCACTGAAGTTTCATCACCATTTCGAGTCACTGAAAGTGTGAAATATTAAGGTGAAAATACAGCACAATGAAGAGCACAGTCAGCCCAGGTCATCTGACTCCGAGTACCGTTGATGAGCCATGGAAGAAGGTAGTTAAATTTTAAAAAAAATTTTTTGTAAGATTCTCAGGCTTTCTCTGTAGTAAACTTTCCAAATTCAAAATCTGCCTAACTCAAAACTAAATTTTAAATAAGGTCCAGTTGGAAAGAAGTATGGAAAACTGAAAAGCTCACTTTGTAACCTGGTGGGAAAATTAATGTGATTAGCTGAACGCTTGCGATTGGGCTTCTTAAATTCAAGACTGACGACATGGTAGTTAGTCGCCCTCTGCTGGATTAATTTAAAAATTATTTTTCCCTTAGAAAAAGATCTGAAACTGAAAATCAACTTTTAAAAATATAAATATTTTTACAAAACTACTGTTTCTACTTTCATAGTAAGAAAATAAACATTTTATAATATTTTTAAATAGCATATTTCACTGTCTATCTCATAACCCCCCAAATGGAAGAAACTCAGCCTATTAAGTAAACAATAACTTATTAATTAAAAGAAAACCTTTTTTAAAAAAATCGCTCGTTTGTTTAACTGCCCAAATTTACTTGCTAACAGTTTTAATATACTTGCAGTGATTGCACTAGCTGATATTTTCATTCAGGTAATTTTTCACAGTAAAATGAGTTTTCTTAGAAGAAAGCTTGGAAATGACTAAGAAATGTGTTTTGCAAGTACAGAAAGGATGAGTAAGTATTCACAAGAATTTATTTCTCAAATTCTTTGCAGCATTTCCATAACAGTTTATTCAATTTTAAAAACAGACATTTTAAACATAATTTCACACTTAGAGAAAGATTCCAAGAATCATGCAAAAATGTCTTAGATATCTTCTATCCACGTATCTCTAATATTGTTTGTTTTCTAACTGTTTAAAAGTTGCTGCACACATGCCCTCTCTACCTCTCAATACATCAGTGTGGGGTTTAAGTCTTTTTCCCACAAAGTCATGAGTATCAGAGGCAGGATATTAGGTCTGATACAATACACTGTTTTCATGTTCATCCTTTTAACAAAAAAAAAAAAAACATAGGTTATATGAAGGACTCAGTTGCATGTCCTCTTTTAGGTAAAGATTAAAAGTTCCCCTTGTTTATCTTAATATCGAAATTTTCAAAGCATGAGTGTCAGTCATAGTTTGTAGCATGTTCTTCAGTTTGGATCAAATGTTCCAGCTGAACTATGCAGTTTAAGAGTGCTGCTGGACTTCTCAATACATGGTTTAAGGTGGCAATGTTGTCTTAATTATGTGGAATTTCTCTACAGTGGAATTACCGTTTACTTTGTATGACCTTTTTAAGAACTTATAAATATCATTTGAGGGGGTGCTGGGTTTTGCTACCCAGGATTAACGAACTGAGCTACATTCCCACTTCCTTTTATTTTTATTTTGACATGACCTCTCCTTAATTTGTCCCCTTTTTACATTTATTAGCTGGGATCCAGTAACAAATCTTTTTCCTCTCCCCATTTATTTGTTGCTGTCTTGCAGTTTGTATCCACATGGATTCATAGATTCATACTTACCAGTTTTTTCAAATGTTTCTTTTTTTGTATTTTGATGCTTCAACTGTCCCAAATGTAGCTGAAAAGACTCATTTCCAGCTAGCTCCCGGGTTCTATTTACACCATTTTCTCCATTCACATTTTCTCTTTGGTTCAAGTCATCGAAAGCACATGCTTTATTTTGTCTGGCTCAGCTTCAGGGTCACCCACTTCCCTAGTGACCTCTGCTTCCTTTTAGTAAATGTTACCGAGAAAGCAAGATTTGAGTATTGGGTACAGGAGTGCTCATTACTGATAGGTGGTCATCATTTCTACATTTTTTGTGTGGACACAATTGAAAACTAAATATATGTACACACCAATAGACTGATGGATTGACCAATAGAGATTTGCTTTTTTCTACAGCTGTATAGCAATTCACTGTGTGTTCTACTATAGCTAGTCACTATGCCATGAATTGTTACTCACATTATTTTCAGTGTATTACCAATTACTAATTATCTATCAGTAAACATTCTCGTGAATATACATTTTCACATAACAAGGATACAGATATACATTTATGGTAAATTCCTTGGATGTATGGTTGCTGTATCAAAGGGAAATGCTCTACAAGGCTTCTCCAGAGGAACAGAACCAACAGAATTTATAATAATTTACTAGATTAGCTTAAGCCAGATAGATTTACACCAGTCATCCGCCAGCTGTAGAACCAGGGAAGACAGTTTCTTCTTTGGTAGAAGCTAGAAGACTCAAAACAACAAGAACCAGGATGTAGCCCCAGCCCAAGCTGGAGGCTTGGAAGGTCTCTGGAGACTCACTGATGCAAACCCAGTTCAAAGGCTGAAGAATCTGTACTCTATAGTCCACACGCCAAGTAACCCTAAAATATCACTCCTTGTTGGAGAAATGTCTGTCAGGCAAGCACTGAGCTTCCCCTCCCGCTTCATCCCATGCCGTTCCCAGCCTATCAGACGATGTCACCCACATTCAGGGTAGGTTTCCATCCCTCCCTTGTGTAACTCATGTGTCAGTCATCCCTGGTGCACTCCCACAGACCAGTGTGCCCCCAATATTCTAGACATCTCCCAATTCAGTCATACTGACAACCAGGATCAGCATCACAGTGCACGCACTATTATGCTATTTATTGCCCAACGGTCCTCTATGATGGTTGTGACAATTTGAGTTCCCACTAGCAATATAAGAGGATTTCCTCACAGCCTTGACAACTGAATGAATTCTGAATCTTGATAGTGAAAATGGCACGTCAGTGTAACTTTTTAAAAAAAAATTTATTTAAAGAGAAAAAAAGGGTAGAAATAGTACAGAATTTCAAAAAAATAAACAGGAAGAAATCACTACTTGATAAATTACATATTGTTCTCTTAGAAATAGTTGTTCAAGTTACAAAATTAAAGCATACAAAGTGGACATTCAAACAGTAAGACTGCAAACAGTTCTGTTCAATGATCCAACAAAAACCTAGTAATATGGTGATCAATCCTATACACTTAAACATACATGCAGTTATATCCTTCAGAGCACTTTCTTTTCCTCTTTTTTACAATAGCAATTACACATTTTGGGGTTTTTTTCCTTTCTACTTTTTTTTTTCAAAAGATTAAGATAAAAGAGGATATAACAAAACATCATAACAGAACAATTTAAGACACATTTTATTACTCCTACATTTGTTCTTACTTTTTACACTAGAGATACAATGTAATATTTATAAATAGGATTCTTATTTATTTTACTTATGAGGATAGTCTCAATTTGTTTTCATTTACCTATGAAGGCCTCAAGATCATCCTTCTTATTGCTGAGTAATATTCCATTGTATAAAAAAGCACATCTTTCTTACCCACTGTATCTTCACTATAACTTTAATTGGTCTTTCTATTATAAAGAAGGATGAATATATTATATGCCTAAGAGCCACTTACGTATCTTTCTTGTATACTGCTCACATCTTTTCTGCATGTGTAAAGAGTAACATTTTTAGAAGGATTCTGGTCTCTAAAATTAATTTTCAATATGTATTTGGAAAGGTGCGTTCTAAACGCCTGTCGACTTTTAGCCAACATTGGTGTTCTAGGAACAAAATTACTTGCAAAACCTTAGTCAACCAAATTGCACCTGAAATTATTTTGTTTTGTTTTGTTCTGATACCAAGGATCAAACTCATGCACTTGCACTTACCAGGCAGGCACCTGAGCCACTGAGCTAAATCTCCAGCCTGCACTTGAAATTTAATGTACAAGCAAGGGTTAAATCTTTGAGTGATGATTGTTCTACAAGGTTGAAATAATTTCACCAAATCCCAAATCCCATTGTTCCATTTACTGCTCCCCAATCATATTTTAAGTGAACATCCACTTACAAGTTTCCATAGAAATTCCAAGAGAATACTACCAAGGAGCTTAGAAATTGCTTTAGGTAGCAACATAAAAACTAGCAGCATACAGGAGAGAGAGCTTTAAAATATTGTTTGAAAAAGTAACATCCTTTTTGTTGTCTTATTTTCTTATGCAGTTATATATCTTCAAGATGATCCACCTAGAAAATGGTCCTGGGCAAACAGAAGTTTTCTCTCAATGTGTAACACACTGCAGCTTTCCACAATGGTGGCATCAGGCTTTTTATAACTTCTTCACTTTCATCTGCCTCTTCATTATCCCTCTTCTCATCATGCTGATCTGCAATGCCAAAATCATCTTTACCCTGACACAGGTCCTCCAGCAGGATTCCAACAGTACGTATTCCTGGCTGGCCTCAAACTCACAATGATCTTCCTGCCACAGCCATCCAAATGCTGGGATGACAGGTGTGCACCACCACACTTGGCCAATGCAGCTTTTTAAAAACTAAGTCATTAACTTCAGTGAGATAATGTGACTCTTGAAATCAGTAATTCCATTGACTTCATGAACCACCTTTAAATGATTTATGTGTGTGCAAAGTTAAAAAATTTCTGATTTCGCAGAAAAGAAGCACATAGTTAAAGCAGATAATTGGGGTGGCACACCTGCCCGTAAACAGGATTCTCACTATCCTTTGCTCAGAGACACCTGATGAATATAATTCTGTGTAGTTATAATGCAACACAGCTCAACCTATATCTGCTTTCCTAAGTGTACGTTTCAGTTGTTTGAGTATCAGATTAGCTTAATGGAAGCAATTTTAAAAGAACTGTCTTTGACCTTTTTTCCTATGTGACAGAGTGGACAGCTTAATTAAACAGACTTTGTGAACAAATTATCATTATTAAAAATACTGGACAATTCCCCACATTATATGCATTAGGCTGGACTAGTGAGCCTTCCTGATCGGCAGTTTTGGTTTTGTGAGAAATTGGCTTTAAATGCCTGCTGTTTTCTTTATCTAACAGAACTACAACTGAACCAGTCCAAGAACAACATACCAAGAGCGCGGCTGAGGACACTGAAGATGACAGTGGCGTTTGCCGCCTCCTTTATCGTCTGCTGGACGCCCTACTACGTCCTAGGACTGTGGTATTGGTTCGACCCTGGAATGTTACACAGGATGTCAGAACCAGTAAATCATTTCTTCTTCCTCTTTGCTTTTTTAAATCCATGCTTTGATCCACTTATATATGGGTATTTTTCTCTGTGATCCACAGATCATTCAGAAAGTAATACAAAGAAAAGTTAATAATTTTCTTCACTTGGAAATGGAAAATACAAAGCATGCCACATATTTACCCACAAACAAGGCAGGATTTGAGAATAAGCTGTCATCCTTCTTCTTTCAAAACATCATATTGGCAAAGTTTTAATTACAAAGAAAAGAATTATCCAGAAAAAATACTAATAATTTTTTCTGAGTCATAAATTTCTAATCTCTTCTTTTCTGACTTTCTTTTACATATTATTTGAGTTTCTTCTTGCTTTCTCCTAGTATAACAGTGCATAAACATTTAAAATAGATACAGTCTAAGGAAAAAGATGCAATAATAATACTAATAATGGTAAGAAACTACAGCACAATTCAAAGCTTACCATATTGTGTTTTTTTTTTCTGCAAAAAAGGGCTTAGCAGTGATTCTAATCTTATGCTATAACACATACCTAGAGCACAGAGACAGCAGGGCATCTGCCCATAAAATCAGTTTGCCTTCCTCTGATTAACAGAAAACAGAACAGCAGATCCTTCTCTTCAGCTTTAAAAACACTCTAATTGTTAGAGTACCTGGCATCCAAGGCTGCCACCTCCCTACCTAGCTGAAAGGTTATCGCATAGCACAGGTCACTGCCCCCCATTCAGGGGTAGTGTGGGGAGAGTCTCTGTGTAAGGAAGGGCAGGTGGTTAAGATTTTGACCAGGTTAGTAATATTCCTCTAGGTTGTATAGTCCACAAGATTTGTAGTGCTGCCGTAAAAATAACAGTGATTTTAAATACAATTAAGAAAAGACACACTGTAATAATATTCTCCAGGTTAGATATACAAAGGACTTGTTTGTCTGTTTCCTGATCTTACTGTGTACATAATCTATAAGTAACTGAGAAAAGTCAATACAAAAATCAAGCATATGCCCAAGCAAAAAAAAAACATTACATACATAAAGGAACTCTGGAGAAAAAAATGCACAATTTCAGTCTGCATTGATCAAAAAGATAGCAGAGTTTTGCAAGAAGAAAGGAAACAAAAAACTAAACATGAAACTAACATCTATTGATATCACATTTAAAAGTATGTATGTTTTCCAAAATATGATTGCATAGCACCAATTGTTTTGTTTAATTCAAGCCTAGGTTTACTGCTTCCCTGAAAAATAGGGTGAAGTAAAAAAAGGGGGGGGGGGAGGAGTAATTCCTATGCAGTTAGAAAATATGATAAAGAGCTTTAAAAAATCAGTCATTATTTAACAACATTTTTTTTTTTTGTCTTTTTCCTTTTTATCAGTATGGTGGATGAAACTCACAACTGCCTGCTTGCAAGGCAGGCGCTTATGCCGCTGACCTAAAACCCCAGCCTCTTAATCAATATTTTTAAACTGATAAGATATCATTGTATTCACATGAACAACATCATGACACATAAAATATAAAAATACTTTCCAAATATTCCAGGGCATGTAAAATTGTGGAAAGCAAATTGCTGATTAAGTTTCCTTTCGTATTTTTCTTCTAACTTGCAGCAATCCCCCTGTCTCAGGGTCCCTAATGTTGGAATTACAGGCAGGCACCATTGTGCCTGGTTTCTACTTGAATGCCTTTCTACTCTTTTTTTTCATATCTTCTTTGTTATTCAACTCATACTTTAAGGTAACTAATCTATGGCCCAAATCTACAACTGAATTGACTAAGATTCAAAATATGTAATATTTTGAAAGGCTCAAAGTTTGCACTATGTGCAAATCAAGACTTTACCACTCTGCTAGAAACACAAAACCAATTCTTCTCTAAGTCTCTTTATCATATATTAATTCTTAAATTGATAATAAATCTTTCTTCCAGTTTAATGACAAAAATAACAAACATGTGCAAGGCACAGTCTAAGGGCTTAACTGCATAGGTGGTCAGACCATCTCTCAAGGTTGGTTCTTAAGTATTCAAGAAAATATCCTATTGAGGTATTTCTTCAAGCATTTTCTAAGTACATTTGCTAAAGGGCTACTCAAAATCTAAATGTATGGGTCTTTAATTTATGTTCAATGACAGAGTATATTTTAATAAAATTATTTTTGTCTAGTTCTATTTGAATTATTTTGTGCATTTAAAAATATTGAGAGGATTTATAGACTATAACAGGTTGTCAAAACAAAGGTTAAGAATATGATTTTGCATATTGATAAGAAAGTTTATTACAAAAATGTATCCCAATGTATTTGTTTATACACATGCATAAATAATGTTCACATTGAAACTGCATTGTTTCAATATGCTTAGTCATTCTTTTTAAACCAAGAAATTTTTGTAAAGTTCAACATGCTCTGAAAAACTGCATCGAACTAAGTAGTATTTATCAATATTCTGGCTTATAAATTATAATATGAACACATATTTAAACAAAAAAATTATAACCCGAATGTTAACTGTAGCTTTTAAATGAAAGATTCATGACTTAACCAATAGTATTGCATATCTGATATGAATAAATCTACATATTCTGTTTCTAATTATAATAAAACTTGATTCTTTGGGGAAAAAACAGCCATATTCTGAAAGTGAATCCAACATATCAGATAACTAAAATTCAGATTAGTAAGAAGTGACTAGCCAAGTGTGGTGGTACACGCCTGTAATCCCAGCACTTGGGAAGCTGAGGCAGGAGGACAGTTGCAAATTTGAGACTAGCCTGGGCTACAAAGTGAGCCTAATGCCAGCCCAAAATGCATAGCAAAACCTTATCTGAAAAAAAGTGACAAACTAATGACAATCAATTGAATGAAGATTACATTAATTCAGTTTCAGCCTGTAATAACTAAAAACACACTCTGGGCCTGGTGGATACATATCACAAATATTATCTTTTTGTCTTCTTCTGGGAAGTTTAAATCAACATTTAACTGGTTAAGAGTTTTTAAAGCAGCCTCACTCAGGTGGTAGTTATAAAGAATTAGAATTTCATATATCTTACTTGTGTCCTAGTTTCAAATATTTAACCAATGCCTGAGGCTTTGCTAATTACTATACAGTGTTTCTATGTGAATAAAGAAAATAAATAATGCAGGTCAACTTAATCGTATCACTTTATGATTAACAAAATCAATTTTAAGACAAGCCTAATTTTTGAAGTTACATATCATAAAATGTGAGTGTAAAGACAATAAACATACAAAGCATGTTAATAGAATTTTCTGAGTGAATTTTTTATTTTTTTCTTTTGAATTCTTGTAATTCTAAATTCTCATAATAAACATATACTGCTTTTGAAATGAGAAAAATACAAATGTGTGTGTGTGTTTGTGCTACTTTTTTATGCATTGCTGTTTGTGTTTTTATGCATTGCTTTTTGATGTAAACGAATGCAAACTAGTAGAGCTATTTTTCCACCTCATGTTACACAATGACCAGTGGTAGACATGTGAACTTGAAGACACGAATTAGGCGTCTCTGCTTCCTTCCTGAATAAAAGTTGATTTTCACCATTTGAGTCACAAAGGGACAAAAAGGGTGACTTCTGATGGCTTTCCTTTCCCTATAATTTGAAGTGAATTTTCTCATAGAGCTAATGAAATTTAATTTCAAAACTCATGTATTCAGCTCTGGAAAAGATCTTTTCATATAGTCATATTTTTATAAAATTCATCAAAAAGATTTTTAAACTAGAATTAGTTAACTCTTTCGCTTTAATTTTCTTTCTTTCCCCTTCATGTAAGATTCTGCTGGAATGGCCAGGGAATCTTTAGGCTCTAGCCAAGGCAAGGCTAAATTAGGATTATATATTTTGACTAAATTTAGAGGGATAATATGTGGTTCTTAAACACTTCCATGTATAATAAGAAATGGTTAACCATTACAGTAAGCTCCTACATATAGTATCTAATACTATACATATAAATAGTATTACATAAAATACATACATACTGACATATCTGGGATAGTGACAGAGAAGTTCAGGGTCATATCATGATAAAAATGTGTCTAGGCATAAAAAACCTAGGACTATGTGGATGGTGAGTGAGAGACAAGGTATGAAATCTATAGAAATTAGTCTTTAGAAAATTCTGCCAGTGCTTATTATATAAAATTGAAGGTGATTCACAGTGAATCACCCCTCTGTGAAATCTTACTTTGTGTTTTACTGGAGACTGGCTTCTGCCATATTCTACCTATGGCTAACTAATGAGATGTCATTACCTTGATCAGATATTATAAAACTAAGGTGACAGGATGTCTGTCCCATGATTACATTTTATCACATAAGACTCCTCCTCAACTGAGAACTTCTGCACTCTGTGAAGAAGCAAACAGCCATGAAGTGATCACTCTTGCTGTAGGCAGCCTCTAGAGACTAAAGCTAGCTTCCCGTGGACAGCCAGTAAGTGCCTAAGGCCCTTTGTCATATAGGAAAAAGGAGCTGATTAATTCCAACCACTGAACCACCATACTCAACCACCAGATAAACACACAGTCTAGTCAGCGTGTTGGTTACAGTCTGATCTTCTATTCCCAGAAGCTGTGAGATTTAAAAAAAAAATGGGGGGCAATGAATTTTAAGTCACTAAGTTTACACCAATTTGTTCTGTAACAATAGAAAACTAATATATTTAGCACGTAAGATTTATAAGGCACGTGTGTCAAACATCAAATTCTACTTAAAACGGAAGTTCTCTCTTTTCCCAAATAATCATATACCATATACTCAGCACTGTAACATAGACACTGGAAGTTCCTCAGCATTTTTCTCCTTTTTGATTGGAAATACATACAAAACCTAATTTATCCGGATGCCTATGTTTGGGAGCACAAAGGCATAGTAATACTACAAACATCAAGTACATCTGTTTTAAGCATCCCATATATCAGATTGCATGTTAGGATGTCAGTACTAATTATTTAAAATTGTGAGATTAAAAGAAACATTTTTAAACTATTTATGTCATCTTATTTTTTAAAAGTCATATCATGAAAGACTTTTATACTAAGTTATAACCACATGGTGCTATGATTTGGGTCTGGCTGGAGTGTATCCCCCAAAGGCTCATGTGTCAGAGGCACACCTGGTCTTAGGTGTTTAAAAGTAATGGGACCTCTAAGAGGCCTATTGCAATGTCACAGAAGGAATTAAGGCAGTTATCTTAGGACCCTGAGCTAGCTCTTGAGAGACAGTTTGTTATAAAAACAGCAAAACTCTCTCCTTTCTCTTTTGGCCTCCTGTCAAGCCATGTGATCACTCTGTAGCAGGACATTCTTCCTTCTGGTATATGTTCCTGCCAACGTGATGCCTTTCACCATGAGTCTCTCACCACAGCTGAGCTGATACTGGCACCATGCCCTTGAACCTTCAAACTGTAAGCTAAATAAACTATGTTTTCTTAGTAAAGCTACCCAGCATTGGGTATTTCATTAATGAAGACTAGAGTGATATAAGTAGTAGACAGCAAAATAATTTAAGAAGAAAAGTACTTTACAGTTAGATTTAGTAGCTAATGATAAAAATTATCTATTATTTTTGTGAAATTTACGGTGTTTGTGGCATTTGTAACTTTTTGTAAATTACTATGATGTCTTTTTTCATTATAACAAAATATCCTTTTATTTACAATTATAAACAACAGCATTCCAAATTGTAAAACTTTGGGGAACAAAGATTCCTTAGGCAGGAACAAAAACCCTTATTTCTCAGACCACTTCCCAAATTATATACTAAGCCCTGCTAAAAGGATTCACATGTTCTTTTTTTCTTTTTCTGTACCAAATTCACTATGTCACTGATCATTCAAGAAGGCTAGAATGGCCATAATGGGGTACATAGCTTTACCTTTGACATGACTGAACTCTGCCCTTCAACCAACTTTAACTTAGGAAAAAGACAAATTGGTAATAGTCATATGTTATGGCTTGTAGGTCTAGATGTCCTTCCAAGACCTCATGTGGTCATAGGTGGTACTTTCCAGGGTGGTTAGGTCTAGAATGTGTGACACTGGGATTGACACATGTTACAAGAGCACTAGGGTTAAGGACGTGCATGCTCCGCACCCTAAGTAGCCTGGATAAGACATACAGAAAGAGGCTCTCTGTTGGTAGCCTGTTGTATATGCTGCTGATGTTTGTTCTCTGTTATGCAGTAACTCTGCCTTAGGACCTGATGATAGGCTGAAATCTCTACAAACCATGAGCCAAAATTTTGGCTTTCCTCCTTCCTCCTTTAACTTTGGGTGTTGGGTATTTTGACTCAGAATAAGAAAAGCAACTAAGAAGTTTTGCTGTTGTAGGAGCCAACCTATAATGTTGTACCTAACTGAAGGATAATGAGGAAGAAAAAAAAAAGACACAGAACTATTTTTAAAATGTGGGGGAGTGGGGCTCTTGTCTTTCTTTGACAAAGAGTTCTGAGTGACTGGCTCACCCTGCCTGTGTTCACTCAGACATGGCTACAAGCATTAAAGCAACAGATGATTCATCTATCCCCTCACCTCCCTATCACGTATCTGGGTAAGCATCAAGGTTCCAGCTGTGTTAACTTTTCCCCTGCAGCATGTTAGCTTGCACACTGCCTTTCTCCTTTGTGATTACAGAGAAGGGAAAGTAGGCCTCAATCTTCCTATCTGGTCTCTCACATGGTATAAATTATATGACAGCTTGATTTATAGATGTCTAATGCTTCTGTTTCACAGAATTCTAATTGCTATATTCTATCTGCCTGCTAAGATGCATCTTGCCATACTCTAATCCATCTCTTCCCTCATTACTAATTGCTTTCCTGAGCTTTCCATTATCATTTGTTAAACATGCTGGATATATTCTGCTTTTTAGGGTGCATTTTCTAACTTAAATAACACCTGGCTCTTATACTGTTGCTGCTTGCACCAATAGATGCAATTCCTGGAGATAAGTTCTCAAAGTCTTCCCAAATTCACGGCATACAACAATTTCATGATCAGCCCTTTGATAAAATACAACCAAGACGTCATATTGTCTTGATAGAAAATATGTCCAAAAGAGAAAAGATGAAGAAACTAACAAATATCTGCAAGGAGAGAGTTCCTTCAAACTACCATCACTAAATCTTAAACATTTCTGAAGTATATAGTTCATCTGTCTTGTTGCATTACAATAAAAGACTTATCCCTGCTCTTCTTAAAGGTAGATTTCTCTACTTGTGATCTTGCTACCTTTCTTTCACTTTTCAAAGACATAATTTCTTCAGATGTTTGCTCTCTCTCTCTCTCCTATACTATTAACCTACCCCGGCTACTAAATCATTCCCACTGACATATAAAAATGTTTTATTACTTTAAATCTTAAGAAAAAACCCTACTGCTCAACTAAACATTTAATTTCTGCTTTATCTCCCACCATCTGTTTTGCTACAACATTTCACTGACAACTTGAAAATTCCCCTTCTTTATTTCTCTTTTGAACTTCTGTGCTTATTAATTTTGAGGTCGCAAGATCACTAGATGTCAAAACTAGTAAAGATGCATTTTTTATTTATTGTAATGTTAATTCATAGTCAAATGGCTGTCCCTTTTTTTGTAAAAAGTTCAGGTAGAGGATGACTGGACCATCTCTGGGTTAATACTAGAGTGCAGCAGAGGAACTGATTGGAGAGAGACCACATCACAAGGATTTGGATCAGAAGATGATCAAGTACCAGGGAATTACTATACAAAGAATCTGAATCGATGTATGTCTTAATACAGATTGCAATAATGAAATACCACAAACTGAGTGGCTTAAACAAATAATTCTAGTGGCTGAGATATTAAAGATCCAGGTGCCGGGGTGGCTGAGTTCTGGTAAACCCACTTTCTTGTTTGCAGAGCTGCCTGCATGCTGTACCCTAACACAAAAGACAGCAAGAACAAGATCTCTGATCTCTCCTCATAAGAGCATTCATCCTGTTCTGCAGGTCCTGTCCTCATGGTCTCATCTCCAAGAAGCTCCGTGTCCTAATATTATCACACCAAAGACTGGAACTTTAATATATGAATTGGGTGGGGAATACAAACTGAATTCTTGGTGGTATCTGAAGGCAATCCCTTTCCCTTCAGTGTGATGAATATATCATACAGCCCTAATCAAGAAGCCCCAATGCTATTTTTATTATAACTCTTCATTGGTACTCTTTCATTCTCTGATATCTGCACATTCATGGAAATAGTCATCATCTTAAAACACTGCCA